CTTCATTCTTCATTCTATTTCAATAGATATTTGAAATTTCATCACATGTGTAACACAATTTACTGAACTGACACTGCAGTTATTTCCATTTGCAATTACAAATTAATGATGAATGAATGTAATATATCATTCTACATGTGTGCAGAATACATCCATGAAAGAAGTCCCACAAGTAGAATCGCCTGGCCAATTTTGCTGTTTTGCTAACATAATGAGACCATTCCATATATTCAATAATCAGAATCTAGACATCTGCAAACTAATCTCTCCTATGCTCGGGTTTGGCTTCACCCTCTTTTAATTCAGCAGCCTCGTTCCACACACGGATCCTGCCCTTATCACCCAACAAATATCCCTTGAGTGCCAGGTATTGTTCTAGGTACTGGGGACGTCACAGTGAATAAAACAGACAAATCTCCCTCCTCTGAGGGAACTTTCTAGCGGGGAGTTTTCTCTATTGCCCTCTAGGAAAGGAAGACACAAAAATAAAACAACATAGGGGCGCGTGGGCGGCTCAGTAAGTTAAGCAATCTGCCTTCGGCTCAGGTCATGATCTCAGGGTCCTGGGATTTGAGCCCCACATCAGGCTCCCTGCTCATCCCCCCCCTTCCCACCCATGCTCTCTCTCACTATCTCTGTCTCTCTCAATAAATAAATAAAACATTTAAAAAATACAATATAAATAAGTATATTAGAGAGTGCTAAGGAGAAAAACAGTAAAACAGGGGAATGAAATAGGAAGTGCTAGAAGTGCCAAGATGGAAGAAAGACCTGAAGGCAAATGGGGAGCTTTGGGAGAAGTGGGCACGTGGGTGCTGGGTTCAGCCAGAGTCACAGGCAGCAAGCCAGACATAGCAAATGCAGCTGGGGCATCAGGCGTAGGGCACTTGAGGAACTGAAAGAGTAATAGATTAGAGAGAGTGGGGCTGGGGCAGAGAATAGAAACCCATTTCAACAGAAGGAACACATAAGAACAGAAAGGATTCTGCCTCCTTCTTGAACACAAGATTCCACGTAATCCAGGGACCAATGGACAGGACTGGAAAGCCAAGTTATAATTCATTTAAAGTTATCAATTTCTCATTTGCATTGGCAGTAACTTTAATTGCTAGGAGTACGCACAGCCTTTTATAAAAATTATATTAGCAGTAAATTTTGATTATCAAGGATTATATCATAGTTAGAGACTTGCTTTCTAAAGATTATCCCATTGCAGGCACATTGCTTATTGCCAAGCACACATCTGTTTTCATTTTAGTACTAATTTTTTTATCCTCATACTCCTTTCCCTGAGAAGTTTCGGGGCGTGGTGTAGGAGGTAGTAGTGGTTGTTATTATCTTGATGGAAGTACAGTTTATACTACAAAAGCTGTAATTCATTTCAATTCCCCTTTTACAGATAAATTGATTGGCACAATTCTCTCACTATTCCAAGCAATTGTAAAGAAACTACCTAATTTTTCTCTTTATTGCTTTAAACCTTTATTTGTTTGTCACCTTCTCACCGCCTATCTCTCTACCTTTTGCAACCTGACTCCTATTCCTCCTATGTCACCAAACCTGCTCTCATGAAAGTTTTCTTTATTCAGATCCTTCTAGAACTCATCACTGCCTTTGACATTTATAATCACGCCCTCATACTTGGATGGCTCTCAAAACTCATATTCTATGACAATACTCATTCACAGTAAAAGGAGAGGAAAAGGCACCCAGTGAAAATAAAGACTGGGGGTTAATATATATTACATATATATATCATATACATATATATATGAAAAATTTTTATTTTAAAAACCAAGAGCCTTAGAAGTCATTTAGGCCAACACCTTCATTTCAGAGATGAAATAATGAAGTACAGAAAATATATCAGTTAGGATGCCTTTGGTTGCAAGTTATATAAAACAGAGGCTCGATTTGGCTTAAACTATAAGGGACTATACTCTCTATGGGGTCCAGGCACATTATCCCATCACTGCTCTCCTCTGTGGCACCTGTGGCCGTGCCACCTTCCACGTGTCAGCTTCAACTTCAGGTTGTAAGCAGAATCCCGCAGCACTTTCAGGACTTAATCAGAGTCCTGGGAGTTGGGGGAGGAGGGGCAGGAAGAGGGAAAAGCACGTCTCTTTCTTGAGTCTCTTTTCAGAAGCAAAGAAACCTGATCAAGAAGCCCTAAGAAGACCTCCTCTCTTGTCACCTCCCCATTTCTAAAGCCATCACTGGCAAGGGAAATGGGATTCTAAGGCTTGTTTCATTCAAGCCTTGGACTAAGCTTGGCGTAGAATGAGTGCTGGGGAGTCCAAGTTAAATAAATTGGTCATAATCAAAATATAACTTGTAGATCTAAGAGATTCTTTACATCTGTCCTACTACACTTGTCAGAATTTGCTTGGTCCCTGCTCATTAGTGCTGGATTCAACTCCTTTCCCCTTGCAAACTTCTCTGGGGTGCTCACTTGGTTTTTTTGTAATTATCTTAGGCCTCTAAGGAGGCAGCATAGAATAACGGTAAGCACTGACTTTAGAGCTAAACTCCTGGGGTTCAAGTACAGGCCCCACCACTTCTAACTGTGTGTGCTACTTTAGGCATGTCATTCAATCTCCTTCCTCATCTATAAAAGGGGATGGTAATAGAACCCACCTCACAGAGAGGTTGTGAGAATTAAAAAAGTCACTAAATATAAAGTTATCAGAACGCCTATTATACAGTAAGTCCTATACAAGTGTGTGCTATTATTATTAAAAGGCATCCACTGCTTCTGCCTGCCCAGCAGCCCTTCCTCCTTCTTTTGATAAATGTTTCCATTTTCCTTTGAAGAACTACCCCTCCACCAGGCCATATAATCATGGCGCAATTCTCAACCAGTATGAACTGCTCTCAAACCCCACTGGGCAGAGGGTGGAGCACAAGCCCCAAGTGAGGCCAATCTCACATTTTCCCTTAGAATCTGAAGCTTAAACAGAGTGACTCATGACCAAAAACAGTTAAAATTCAGCCTTTCTGATGTCAAGGCCCTGAAGAGGCTTTTCTTAATTCTAGACCCCTGGAACTGTGTTGTCCTTTCCAAAATCTGATAAGAGTTCTTCTCTTAAAAAAACAAAACAAAACAAAAAACAGTTCTTCCTTTGATTGTGTTAGCTATCCAATCCCTTTAATAAACTCCTATTTTTGCTGAAATTAGACAAAATTGATTTGTGTTGCCAGTGTAACTGCTACATTGAATGAACAGTACTCTCGAAATTAAGTCATCAAGTAACTTCATTTTTGTCTCTCACTGTCTCTTTAAATCTATTCATGAGCCTAGCTCCTCTCTGGCCCCTGCATAGATAGCATAGAATTTAAGACCATAGCTCTGAAGCCAAACATTCTGGGTTCAAATTCTAGCTCTACCTCCTGCTACCTATGTTACTTAAGGTCTCTTTGCCTCAGTTTCCTTACTGGTAAAATGGGGGAATAACAACACCTACCTCATTAGGTTAACATAAAACTTAAACGACTTCCCAAATGTAAAATGCCCGGAAAGGTGCTTGGCACCTGAAAAACATTACTGCTGATGGCACTGGGGGTCCAGTGAGGTGGTCTTTCTTCCTCATACCCCATCCTGTCAGGCCCCGATCATTCTTGTTTCCATACCTATGCTCATGTTAGCCCTTCTCTTTTTCTAAATTCTTCAAGACATAATTAAGTCAAGCATCACCACTTCCACAAGGCCCACATTGATCTACAGAGGCCATATGTGCCTGATACTTTGTAGAATTTATAATCTGTAACAGACACCTGAGTCTTGAGTCCATGTAATTTCTATTGTGTTTTACTTGAACCCGTGTGTAAAAAGGACTACCCCAATAAGAAAAGTAGTCGCTGAAGGCAAAAATGACGCTTTCTATTATTTTATATCCTTCATATTACTTAGTCCAGAGAAGGCTTATAGTAAGTCCTTGATAAGTAACTTTTGAATGGCCCTCTGAACAGCTACAAATGTCTCCAATCACAATTACTTCTGGGTTTGTATAGCTGCAAGCCCATAGGCCTATGTTTTAGTATATGTGCTACTAAAGTGAGCACATGACCTATGTTTTTATTGTGTGTTTAAGTAAACAAAAAAGAAACGGTGCAGAACGTTCCATTTTCATCCCACACTGACCCATACACCCCAGGCATGCAATAAATGTTATGAACTACCTAAAAAAAAAAAAAGAAAGAAAGAAAAAGAAAAATTCAAGAGATGAAAACTAATTCCAGATATTTTAGGAAATTCCAAATATATCTGTTACTATTAAGATTTGAAACTATAATGCAAAAGATCCTGTTTTGTTTAAAAATTAAAAACAGAGAGATAAGGGAAACAGATACTCAGATACTTTTTCACCTAATACCTTTTTTTTTCCTCACAAGAATTATCGATGAAGGACAAAGTACAGGAGATAACTACTGTTAGCTTTTTATTGTCATGGTTCTGGAGAAATGTTTTTCTATTTTTGAAACTCTGCATCATGAAGTATATCATCTTCTTCTGACTTCTCTAAGCATGTGAAAAGTATATACAGAAATAAAAACTTCTCTCATTGATGTCCCAGAGCATATTGTTTACATTCAGAAAGATGGCACTGGTTCATAGCTTTGTGGGCGATTATTTAGTCATGTGAAAAAGCCCACTGGGAAAAAGAAATTGAGTAAGCCTGGACTCAATTCCATGTGAAACCATCTGTGGAATGGAGATGTATAAATTGACCCACTTAACCGATCCTCAGAACAAACTTATATTACATCTAAATGACATCTCTATAAATGACACTTCCATACTTTTTGGCTTATTGTTGTTTAATGTGTATGGTTATTTCAAAGTTGGAGGGGGGGAAATGCTTTTTTCTAAATGTTATCCACTGTGAATTTTTCAACCAGGCCAACTCTTCATTGCTTCCTTCCTACAGAAACAGTTGGCCTCAGAGAAAAAGAAAAGAGAGAGAAGGATGAGAGAAGAAAAAGAAACCTGTATATCTTACTTGGATTGTGCAAGACAGCCTGGTGCAACCATACTCTGATTTTTCTCCTCATTCTGGAGTGCCGTAAGCTCCACCATGTTAACCATCACATCGTTGGTGTGGCCTGGAAGCTGGGGAAGCACTGAAATGATCTTCTCTACCAAGTTGTCTCCGTGATGTCCAACTGCTCCTGTTTAAGCAGACAAGATAATATAAACTCAAAAAATGGGGGGGGGGGAATCTGGATTAATGTTTTATAATGGCCCTTCTATCAAGAGTAATATATATATTTTGTTTCTGTCACATAAATCAATAACACAAGTCTAGCATTTTGCCTTCTGTAATGACATTAATCAAACTCACAATGACCTAGTCAACCTATGCCTTGTGTGTTGACCTAATGCTCTATGAGGGCAGATGCTGTGTCTGCTCTAGTTACTACTATATTCCTAGCACCTAGAAAAGTGCCTATATATGGTATATGTCAGTAAAAAATTAATATATAAATAAATAATCAGCATATAGTCAGCCAGGAAAATAGTGTCATTGGAAGACACTATTGTAAGATTTTACGGCCAAACTTTATTTTACTGATGAAGTCATTAAGACCCAGAAGGACTTAGAGATCTGACCCAAGAATAGCAGATCTCCCTTCTGCTAGAACCTTATCTTCAAAATGGCCACTGTTTATCTAGTTCACCCTGAACCCAGCATGCCTAGAAGGCAACTTGGCAGCTAGCAGGTTCTCACTAAGTATTTGTTAGATTATGGGAAAACTAAATGAATGAATGATAACAGCTTGTAATGATAGAAACATTTACAGAGTACTTTCTGTGTACCAGACACTGTTCTAGGTACTTCACATGTATTGACTCTTTTAATAACAAATGACTTAGAACCTCAAACTGAAATTCAAGACTAATGACACAGTGTAATATTTTGTCCATGAAACCAAGTTATCTTTCCAAAAGCCGTCATTGCTTGGAAGACCTCCTTCCAACAATGGGTGGGACTTGGCACATCTTGTTTTGATCCTACCACTCCAAATCAATCAACCTTTGGTTTCCTGATGTCTCTCTGTTTCTAGCTGTTGTTTTTGCCATGTCTCATAACTGGACAGAACTAGATACAAAACACCAAATCAGGACTCCAAGGAATCCTTGTCACTGCCACCACCATCTTCATCACAATAGCTAACATTTATTGAAAGCTTGTGATGAAGCAGGTATTATGTTTCATATTGCACATTTATTATCCACTTAATCCACTTACAACAACCCTAATAGATGAGTATTATTATGTTCATTTATGGAGTAGAAGATTCAGTTTAAGTAACTTGCTCAGGATTTCATAACTCTGTAAATTACAGAGCAAGAATTAAAACTCAAAAGGCAGAAACTGCCAAAACCACACTATTAACAACAACAACAAAAATCAGGCCCATTAGAATGACTTAAGACAGAGCCAATAGGGGCGCCTGGGTGGCTCAGTCAGTTAAGTGTCTGCCGTCAGCTCAGGTCATGATCTCAGGGTCCTGAGATGGAGTCCCACATCAGGCTCCCTGCTCAGTGGGGAGTCTGCTTCTCTCTCTGCCCCCTCCCCCTGCTTGTGGTCGTTCTCTCTCTCTCTCTCTCACAAAAATAAATAAAATATTTAAAAATTAATTAATTAATTATAAAAAAAGAGCCAACAAGAGTGCATCTAAGATGACTTCTATTACAAAGCTGTAATCAACAAGAAAGTATGGTACTGGCACAAAAACAGACACATAGATCAAGGGAACAGAATAGAGAGCCCAGAAATGGACCCTCAACTCTATGGTCAACTCATCTTCAATAAAGCAGGAAAGAATGTCCAATGGAAAAAAGACAATCTCTTCAACAAATGGTGTTGGGAAAATTGGACAGCCACATCCAGAAGAATGAAACTGGACCATTTCCTTACACCATACACAAAAATAGACTCAAAATGGTTCAAAGACCTAAATGTGACACAGGAGTCCATCAAAATCCTAAAAGGAGAACACAGGCAGCAACCTCTTCAACCTCAGCTGCAGCAACTTCTTCCTAGAAACATTGCCAAAAGCAAGGGAAGCAAGGGCAAAAATGAACTATTGGGACTTCATCAAGAT